TATCTTAACTTAATGAAAAAGTCAATTCTTAATCCTGCACAAAATGTTAATGAACAACAATAAATTCTGGAGATATATATAGATGAAACTCAGAATTTCAAAACACATTAGATTTGACCCCAGAAAACAATAAAAGGTTATATATGTTTTTTAATGAAAAACATAAAATGAATTTAGTACATTTTCATGCATTTTTGATTAAATTAAACTAGACCAAAAAAACCCACTAAATTTGCAACTGTAACTACTCTTTAAACATGTGCATGAAAACATATCCTCTCATGGTTTTATACAGTGTTTCTGAAAGTTTTTGGTCTGCAACCCCCCTTGCACTTAAAAATTTCAAAGGACTCCCTGAAGAATGGGTATTTGTAGAAAAACATCCTGAAGGGGGGATTAATTTAAATTCAGAAGGAGTTCATTTCTTTTGTTTAATTGCATTGAAACACTCATAATTTTAATAGCAGATTTATTTTTAGTATCATTAAAAATTAATAACTTATCTTTTGTACATCTTTGAACAAAATATTCTATGTATATATTTCAACATTAGTAAACTCAGTTAAGTTAAACATATTTTAAATTAAATTAAATTAAGAGCCTGCTTATTTTGGCACAATAAATTAAACCTGGGTTTAATATCAGTCAGTGCAGGTCTCGTAGTGATTTCTATGTTGCAAAGACGAGAGCGCTACTTTGTTTTGATGTTGGTCATTACTGAAAATACCATTTTGCATAAATAAGTGGTTGCAAATGGTAAGAGAACTGCCATTGCCAATTCAGAGATAGTGGATACTCTGCTTTCACACTAAGCCAAAAAGAATCTACTATTTCTAAACATGAATCCATAGTAAATTTATAAAATATTTGAAAAAAAATTGATCTGTCATCAATTTTTCTGCGACCCCCAAATGTTTTTCATGACCCTCCTGGGGTTGTGACCCCCACTTTGAGAATTACTGGTTTTATATATAGATATAGTTGTTTTGTCACTAGATGGCATTTACAAATAAAAATAATGGTTGTATCCACTTGAAGAGAAAAATTATATATATTTTTTTTATGCTTTTAGTGGATAATTCTNAATACAAAACCAGGAATGGTAATTTATGGTTTAGCCTAGTGACAAGTAGATTCGGAGACAAGTAAATTCGACTTACGTCGTTCTCCTGGAACCAATTACCGACGTAAGGCGAGGTATACCTGTACTTTTCTTATCTGAAGTTATTGAAAGTTTCTTTGGAAAATGGTCTAAAGCTTTGCACCTTTTGGATAGATTCATTAACATGATTTTTCTTGAATACTGTACATTTATTCCTTTTTCTTTAATTATCTGTGAGTCAGACCATACTTCAGTTTATGTTATTAGATATTCTATTTGATCTTGCTTTTTCCAGAATTATTATTGAATAAAACAAAAAGAGAACTACAACTACTTGGACTTGCAAACTTAACAACATGCCCCTGCCCCTTTGCATATTGTACACAATGCATTTGGGAAAAACACAGACATATATGGGAAAGTAACAGAGGATCTCATAATTGATTTCCATGATTTCTTTAAACTGTCAGCTGTTATGTTTGAAAACTTTATAAATGAGATGAATTTGGAAGAACTTGGATTATCTCATTTAAAATTAATCTATAGAAAATACACAATAACAAAAACAAGTAGAAAGAAGTAAAAAAACCATACTTGATTATTTTTTAACACTCCTGTGAAGAAAGTAAAAACAAAGTTTGAAATAAATAGTTAATAATATCAGAATCTAATTTTTTTCAGATGAAGTGCATTATATTAGTAATATAGGATATGTAATATCCTGTAAAAGGGTAAAATCAAACAATTGTTTTATTCACTTTCAGGTTTTCTGTTGAAATATGGAGAGTAGAACAAAATAATATTTGGATATTTGGAGAGTAGAACAAAATAATATTTCAGAATAAATTTTTATTTTACTACTTGTAAAATGACTCTGCTCTGCTACTAAACATTCCATATAACAATATTTTAAAGATAGTCATCTATATTTTTTAATTCATTCATTTAATTAATTAATTAAATATTTTTTGATGGTTCTATACTGATGCTGTTCTAAGAAAATTGATATTATGACTTTAATATTTCTGGTGGTTGTGTGTTTTCTACTGTTATTTGCTAAATTAATTGACTTATTGTCATGGTAACTTCCATACGTCAAGCACTTTTTTAAATGTAATTTAATTAACAATACAATATGAAATAATTGGCAAGGTAATAAAAATCTGCTTATTTAAAAATGAAAAATTTCTTTTATAAATAGGCAGGCAGATGGTATTGAAAATTAATCAGTAAGAGATAGGCCTATGATAATAAATTTAATATCAGTAAGATATGATAAGCTATGAATGAAATCAAAGCTTATTCCTTAAAAAATATATATTTTAAAAAATTTATCAGAATTGTATCAGAATATTTTCAATTTGAATAAACATTTCAGACTGAAAAAAAGGGTACAAAATGCTAATGGTTTTGACAAAACTGGATGGGTTGGCATGAATATCTTGAATTATTGTTGTAACTTTATTAATATCATTCATTATTTTAATGTTAATGTAATAATTTTAACTTTAAGGAGTAGTAATGTTTTTCCAATGAAACAGTTATTTACTGATTACTCTGATTATTTGAGAATTAATTGTTACTTGACAATAATACCAATCATCTCTTCCATTCATTAATTAATGATTAGCAAATGATTACTTCATACATCTTTATAGAAAATATTCCTAAATATTTTTATTCTAAAATATTTTATAAAAAGAAATTGACTGTATAAATATAATTTTGCACTTTCTGAAAGCTGAAACTTATATCAATGTTCAACCAATTGAATGTACTGTACAGTGCATACTTTTCCAGCAGTGAAGTAGATGATTTACAAACATTTTAGAGTACATTCAATAATCTGCTTCTGGTGTAACTGAAACTTCTTATTTTTCAAAAAATGGAATGTCTCCAGGTTTTGAAAAATAATAGTTCCTGTTACACCATCTGATGAAGTGGAAACAAGACACAAAAGAATTTATTATCCATATCTACACCACAACAAAACTGAAAACAGACTTGATAGCATAAAAAAGTACCCACATCTCACTGTTACAGAGCAAAGGGTTGTTGATCACAAAAGAACAATTATACACAACTTTATTCTACAAACAAATCTTGAACATATCAAACAAGTTGTGCAACAGATACATCAACACACAGAAATGCTAGATCACATAGTAAATCAGACACTCTTTGACAGTACCTCAGCATGAAAACATACACAGTACAACATTCACCAATGAAAACATTAACATATGACAGTTATGACCAATGACACTGTAGACACACACACACATGCAGAATATTAATTAACAAAATTTATTTTGAATGGATTTGTAGGATTATAGTCTCCTTTCATCTACTGCTTATCCTTTTTGAATTATGAGTGTATACATATGTATTTACAAATTATTTTAAGACACACTCACTAAATACATAGGGTTAGACCCCACAAAGAGTCAGTGAGTTGCCAGTTATGTTACCTGGACAAAGGTCCATGTAGCATAACTGGCAACATACAGTAAGCAACAGTTGCAGGTTCAAGTCCTACTCCAGGTCAATTCTTTTCTTCCAGAATCTTCTAAATTTTTAATAACATATTAATTTAATTATAATTATTAATTATAATAAGAAATAGTACCTATTGCCTACCTCTAGGCCTAATTACATAATACCTAATTATTAATAGTAGCAATAATATAGCCCAATTTAATCCAGCAATCATTTGGCTTTAACACATGAACAACAGAAATACATAAACACTTTCAAACAAAAATTTCATCTAATGAGCATTACATTGGGATCACTGATATTGATCAAATAAAAGTAATCAGATCTAACAAGACTAGTAGTTAATTAAATGTTAAAGAAGCATTCTTCCAATTACAATAAAATAATAACATAATTTGACCGACTTAAAATCAGGAAGAGTTTTCATTTACAGGATGATAAACAACTAACAGCTTATTGACATTAGTAGTAATAGTAGTTGATCAGTGTGGGCTGCACTGACCATCTATCCTGACCTTAAAAATAACACTTTCTCAAATTTCACACAAAGTGGATGTTAATCAGTATAAGTGAAGATAATTTACTGGGAGTTTCTGAAATTTAATATTTGTTATATATTTATAATTAAATATTTTTAAATTTAATTTTTGTGTTTTTAAATTGAATTATAATAAAATAAAGACAAAATGAATAAATTAAACATATAATTGATATAATTGTAATTTTTGATGTAATGCTAACAGTTTCAAAGTTTTAGAATAAAAACTTGTTTGTTTTTACATGTGCCCTCTAGAGGGAATGTACAGTATAAATTCACTTAAACCAGTATACCAGCATTCCCCTGGGATAAATCAGCATGTCAGTTTTTATGATATGGAAATATCTGATTTTGTGGTCTTTCTCAGATAGACTGACATGCTGGACAATCCTGAAAATATGCCACTCTATAAATGAGGGAAATTCTGAAGGTTTTAAGTGATTTGCAGTTTTCAACTTTAATTTTCTCATTTAATTTTGAGTAGTATGCCTTGTCTTGAGTAGTGTTCCACATGTCATCCCTAATACTGTAACTAACAGGTGTCTGCTTGGCACATGTCAGTTATTGGAAATGACATATATCCTCACCAAGTTTGATCAAAATCAGTGACCCCAATGTCATGCTGTCCCCTTGTAAGTCTCAAAGACTGAAATGTTACAAAGACCATATGCTACAGGAACAACAAAATAAATTATTCACAATAATGTAGCTGTTTTTGTTATGTTTATTGTCTCGAAGTTACAACCAAAGTGTGCTCAGGTACCGTTTCCGTGATGCATCAGCAACAATCACCACCTGGCGGACTCACTAATATTTTACATTTTAACATTTCCAATACAATACACATTACATCTCCCTTTCTTACACAAAGTCTTTGAAACGTGATGGCCTACGGATCACCCGGCCTGATCGAGTTGTCAAGTCCGTAGCCTCATTGCCGCTCACCTCCTGATTTTCCAACTGCTCATTCTCCATGTCCTTTTCCTCTCTACCACTGAAGTTCTCTCTACTGCTATCCATGTTTTCCCCTTGTTCACTGGCCTGTTCATCCTCAATTGGTTGATCCAACAATTCGCCTGAATGATTCTGTATGTTTCTAAATCTATTCACATTGAACTTCCTTAAAAATCTTCGGTTACAAATGAAGTATTTACCATCTTTGTCTATGCGCACAATATAAGATCTTGGTCGATATCTGTCTATTTCTATTATTTCACCAGGCTCCCAGTTTCTTTTATCAATTTGGATCATCACTCGGTCATGTGGATTTAATGCTGTTAGGTCTCTAGCATTTCTGTCGAAATAGTGTTTCTGTATTTGTTGTCTTTGCAAATGGTTTTTTCTAAATTTGTCTACAACTATTCTGGGTTTCAAGAGATTATTCCTTGTGGGCACTTGCCCTCGCAACCTACGACCATAAAGAAGTTGTGCTGGGGATGGAATACCTCGACCTAAAGGTGTATTTCTGTATTCCAACAAGGTCAGATAAATGTCCTTTGAGTCATAGACTGCTTTCTTAAGTAATTTTTTGATAGTCTGCACATGCCGTTCAATAAAACCATTAGACTGAGGGTTTCGTGGAGAGCTTGTCTTATGTGTTATTTCCCAGTGTTCTAGAAATTGTTGAAAATGTTTGTTTACAAACTGGGTATCATTACCTGAGTATATAATTTCTGGCTTGCCATGTCTGGAAAATATCGATTTCATAGCTTCAACTATTCTGGAATGAGTGGTGTTCTGATTCATACAATAAACTTCTGGGAATCGTGAAAATGTATCTACTACTAGTAGATAGTCTTTACCAAATAAATGACAGATATCAGTTGTGACAATTTCCCACGGTCTTGTGGACAGTTCTCTGTTAATAAGCGTTTCTTTCGGATTTGAATTTTGATACTTTAGACATGCTGGACAGTTCCTGACAACATCAATTATTTCTTTTTCCATGAACGGCCAAAAGACATGTTCTTTTGCTCTCCATAATGTTTTACTGATTCCCATGTGATTATAATGTAGTCTATCAATTGTCTCTGCTCTCATGCTCTTGGGAATAACTATTTGTTCACCTTTACATACTATGCCTCTCACCTCACTCAGGTCTTCACGAAACTTCCAATATGGTTTGACTAGTGGATCTATCATGTTTTTCTGTTCTGGCCAACCTTCCTTTATTATATTAATCAGTGACTGTAACTCTTTATCTCTTTTTGTTTCATGCCGAAGTTTTTCAAATTTCTTTGGAGTAATGCTACAGTAATTGATAAGGTTAACTTGAGCTTCAACATCAGATTCCATCACATCAAAATTCTTGTCCACATAGCTAGCTCGAGAAAGGGCATCAGCCAACACAAGTTGTGATCCTGGTCTGTATTTTACTCTAAA